CTGGAGGGGGGAGGAATGAATGAATAGCCTGATACATTAATCATCCCTGTAGTCTGGACATAACATGGCATGAGCATTCCTGTTTTCTTGATGGACTGTGCTAAAAATTGACAGGCATTCAATGCATCATTTAACACAAATAAATAATGGTACTGATGACAGTTATTCTCTGCTCTTTATTTGTGGCTTTTTTCTCCCAGGCATTAAATAACATGATGAAACAAAGCAAAGTCCATTATGTCACACTCGTCACAATGTCCTCCACTGAGGAGCACGTATACTGTAATACCTGTCTCTCTACCCATAATCCCTCGTCTGCAGTTGCTTCCTTCACATAGGTGAGACTGTACTGTCTCTGTGATGAAACTGCACTGCTGTTCTCACATTTCCAGGCTGTTTTTTGGTAGATTTTCTTCTTTCTCAACTGGAAAAATAAACTGAACTACAAGGATAAAACACAGTTCAGAGTTCATATAAGTTGGTCACATGCTGACTCTGAAAGCCTCTGCGACCACTTGATGACCTGCCCTTCCACTTGGTTGGCTTCCCATGTAGTCGAGCAAACAGAAACTGAATACTGGCTTTGAACTGAAGAGGAGGAAAAGCGGCACAAGTGGGCCTTAAGTTCTTCTAGGTTTTACTTAAGTACACAGCAGGGCAGTGGTTACCAGAGAGCAAGTGAATGCATGAACGAGGTGTGGTGAGACCAGGTCAACTCTGACCTCCAGGCAAGGGTCAATCCCTCCATCATTCCATCATTACAACAGAGAAGTGGGGATGAGAGGAGTGTTGTGAATGAGTCATGACAAAGAAAGATGTATGGTGAAGGGGACAACAAGAAAGGACAAGCCGGACGAAGAGAAGGAGAGAAACGAGAGATGAGAGAGGAGGAGGAGACAGCTGAACAGACGGCGAGAGAGAAAGAAGAGGTGAAAGCAGATCTGGGACTAATGGACGAGCATGTGTTCAGATAAATAAGTGATCTGTAGGCCTGAGTGCCAACGTATGCCAGCAGTTTGTCTGACAAATGGATTCAGTGCTCGACATTTGATACTGCAGAAACGGAGATGGAAAACTCTAAAGTGACGTGTGTGCGTGTATGGGTTAAGCAGCAATTGCCAAAGTAAGCCCTTTTGATTTGTGTGACATTAAACTACAAACATATAGGTACATGAGAACGAGTGCCTCCTCGATGACTTGCACGCAAATATCAAAGCAGAGTTAAAACCCAAATTCACTTCCCCTTGTCTCTGTGGTAACCCTAAAGAGTCCCCAGCTCTGTCTTAGCTGTGCTATGTCACTCAAAAACACACACGCACACACCTTTACAAATCCAGGCATTGTTGACTCAACTTCCATACCTGTGAGATCCCTCATGTAGTTAATACACTAGTAGGACCGTAGTTCAACATTAACCATCCATGTTTAACTTCTACTATAACATTAACCTCATCTTAAGCATATAAAACAGTCCTTAATCCTCAAACAGACTTTTAAAGAAGTACCAACCCTCATTTACTTTTAGGGCACTGAGCAAAATGTGGCCATAGCATTGAAATTTGGGACTGAAAACTCACATTAGTTAAATACTTTTGATCAAAATCGGGAAACCTTTCTGGCTTTAGAGTATTTCTTACATAGGCAGAGCTCTAGTTACTGTGGACACATTGAGTAGTATAGCATGTTTTAAAAAGAGGATTTAAAAAGGATTAATAAATGTTTTATACGATGCCCAACCCTATTCCCAAGATGTAAAACCAATCCTCGCTCAGACACAAAAACACCCTGAAACAGGCACAAAAAAATCCAAACTCTACACAGTTCATGAATTTTTGATGCATGCACAAAGCATGAACATGTAACACACACACAGGAACTTCATCCCCCTCAAGACATACTCACAATCCCCAGCCACCCTCCCCTCAGGCTCACTGAAAACCTGCATGTGTGTGTGTATATTGATAAAAGCTCCAGGTCCAGTGAAGGGCTCCATTGTTGGCAGCAGCTCGCCTCCAAACACACTCTGATTGATGCCAGCTGAGAGAACACAAAGATACATTTAGCTTGGACACACACACACACACACACACACACACAGTGTATGTGTGTCATACATAAAGACACAAACACAGAGATTATATAAGAATATGTGCATGTGGGATGACACACATACATAAAGACACAAACACAGAGATTTCACATAGATATGAAGCGACACAAAAGAGCACACAGACAGAAACAGGCACAAACACACTTAAGAAGGCATGAAAACACAGACACACACCTTCACAATAAGACATGAACCTGGACACACACACACACACACACACACACACACAGTATCTGACAAGCGGTCAGCAGCTGAACTGCTGCTGACCTTAAACAACCTGCAACACAAGATGATGAGGTTGCGGCCTCCTGGTGTGTCTGGAGGAAAATCTGGACTTTATTCAACACACATAAAAGAACATTCTTCTGTATTTTACACACTTAAATGTGGTTTATATCTCAGCAACAAGATGTGACAGTGTTTTTAGATGGTATGATGATGGTATGATCCTTTAATAGTCCTACAAAATCTCCTTTGATTGTCAGTTCAAAATTATTCTTGCAAATCTGTGGTATGAAAAAACTCCAAAAGTGATTCAAATATCCTCCTTTTCTATCTTTCTATCCATACATGCATCTGTCCTGCACTCTACTGCAAACTCAGAGAGCAAGAGCCAACATTCTAGATGATTTCTGAAGTTACAAACCACACACAGACACACACAATAAGTCATGTTTGTATATTCACACACAAATGCACTGAGCTATGCACATATGACCATGGGCAAACCTTGTCTATGGGAACGCATGATTGAGAGTACACACACATATATACAAACTATGTGGCTGTGATTTAAATGTAGTAATTTTAGTTGATGGACTGCATGAGGTTTGGTTGCTACAACAAGCAATTTGTAGAAAAACCAATCAGAAAGCAGAACAGGATGAAGACGAATCATCATCAAATCACAGAACACAAGTAGTACACAGAAATGGAATATTTTGTTGTTGAGTGCTTACATTTGTCTTTCGTATGGCTCAAAGTTTTGCAAAACATTTCAAAGGTGCATCCAAGTTGCAATAAATTAAACTGTTCATGTGGTAGTAGCGCAAATACTACCCCGGCGGAGCTGGGTCACATTAGGTTTGAGCTTTGATTTCAGGACCTTGGAGTCATGGCGTCCTGACTTACTGGTCATGTTTGCAGCTGCCATACTGAAGTGAATTAGCTAAACTGAGTTTTAGAGACAAAAATCTCAGAACTCAAACCCGTCTCCTAAAGTGACCTCTATTTACTACAAATCCGCAACAGAATATATAGATAGATAGATTTTATCAGAATGCCACTTGGATTATGTTTCTTTTTTTTATCATGAGGAAGCCTGAATGGATGTAACATATCTGTCAACATTTTCATTGTTTTCCCAACAATATCTGCGCAATGCGACTAAAGCACATGGTTAATATTAGGTCAACACTGACTTGAACTACAACTATGGTTTATTTCGGTGTTAATTTTCTGATTTTGTAACAGCTACAGTGAGCTGTGACGACAGCAGAGGGAAAAGCACTGTGTGTTTTCTAACGACTGGGCTGAAAGCAGCAGGAGAGGCCAGTGAAAGTGGAAACGTGGAGCCAAAAGCATAAATGAATTCTGTCAAACTAGAGTGAAAGTCAACAAGCGATAGACTGAACTGAGATGATTTGCTGTCAGAGTTTTATCCTGGAGTAAAATGACAGATGAGAGATGCACTGCAGAGTGTTTGTCTGTGTATTTTGTGTGTGTGTGTGTGTGTGTGTGTGGATGCTCCACAGAGCCGACAGATTAGATGTTTCCTGCTCAGTTAGCCACAGCAAGCAGCATGGATGAACTCCAAGCCACACATGCACTCTCTACAGATATACAGATGCAAACACAAATACACATATGGTCACACACACACACACACACAGTGATGTCCTATCTGTGTCAGTGGAAAATGACAGCAATCTGTCTGGCAAAAAGCAACGTGGCAGGAGCCATCCCTCGTTCCCTGGAGGATGACAGCACAGGAGGAGAGAGACAGAATGAGAGAGAAATAATGAGAGTAGGATCAAATGAAGAGAAAATAAAGGAAAACAGATTATGAGGAACTGGGTGAGATAAGAGGGTGAGAGTGAGGTACAAGGACATGAAAAGTGAGAAAGAGAGAGGAAATCGAGTGAGAGAGGTTTGCACTGTGACAGAACCTGAGAAGGGAAGGTAAAGAAAACAGTCGAAAGGTTCACGTTAGGGTTACATGAATGTGTTAGAGACGGCTGCACGTGTGTTCAGCCTCTGTGTTTCCATGTCTTAATTAAAGTGGCAATTAGTCTCAGTTTCACGAGGGCTAGAATCACAGAGCCCGTTTCCTGACTAATAGACACACACAGGCACACCTACAGTTACATATACAAGCACAAACACACACTCTGGAAGTCTCACACACACAAACACAATAATACATGTGCTTTCACTATCACAGGAACACATGTCCTGAGTAATAGTAACAGATTTCACTTAGTAACACACACACATACACACGTGCAAAAAAGCTCGAGCGGTAAGGCATGTGTCTCTGCTCCTGTGCAGCCTGTACACACACACACACACACACACACACACATACCAAGCAGGGCTGTGGGAAGGGTTTCAGGGAGTTCATCTAAACATTACAAATGATCAGATACCAGCTCACACCCCATGCCTACAAACAGCCAACGTGCTCAGTTCATCACCATAAACATACAGCATGTCTGCCTTTTCATGTTGCTTTTGTCTCTTTAATCTTCTGTAGTTCAGAGAACAGGGAATACTGATTTCAGCTACTGGCTGTTAGCCAGCTCGCAGTTCTTTGACTTCATTATTGTTACTTACTATAAAACGCCTTTATATCTTAATATCTTTAAGGTTTCTAAGATTATGATGAAGT